CCCGGGCGACTCACGACCCAGGATTTGATCCCCGGACCGCTCGCGTGGTAAGCGTGCCACTTGCCACTACACCACTTCCGCCCTTCACCTACATATGATGGATTTTTTTGAATCTTGTTGTGGACTTTCTCGTCTGATTCTTTCATGATATGTAGCTTGAACACGCTGCTACTAATACGCCCTGATCACAAAGTGGTTAGGCCTTCCACTTTGCGAAATGCACCAATCAACCTCCAACAGAGCGCTATGCGAAACCGTTCTCGACGATTTTTCAAATCTCAAATTTTGTTCAAACAGCGTTCAAACTCAATTTAGGCACACCCCTTCCTGTCCTCACCCCCCCCCCCAATTCATTTCCTGCTATAATTGTTTTCCCTTTATTGACTTTCTGCGTTTGTTTTACCAATTGGGAACTGGTTTTCACTTTGTATTATTTGTTCTATTTCTGTAACAATCGTCATAAATAAATAAACTCGGTATTTGTTCAAAAACATGGGGCGTGTCTTTACTTTGGAGAGGATTACGGGTGAATTCACCAAAGGGCTTGCTTCAGGACACTGACCGAGAATGGTCCAGGAACAATTCTGATCACCGAAGAAAGAGGGGTAACAGCTGCTGATTTGTGGCTGCTGTAAGATGGTCGGAACGGTAAGATCGTCGGAATTGCAGACTTACCGATATTTGCCACTGCGCGATCACTCCTCCAAAATGTGGACAGTGAGGGTGGACGCTCACAAGCCGCCGGCGGAATCGACGACACAGGCACAAGTTGTGTCGACACAAGAGCGTGTGATCCAATGCAACAACGATTTTGTTTTGCGAAGGCGACCATTGCATTGAGAAACTCAGGGTCATCGGTCCGAGCCTCTTGGAGGGGTTCGCAATATTACACCCCCTCCCAGTAGTCAATGGTGCTCATAGCATCGTTGGACACACACTCGCGAAACATTCGATACATTTCAACTCCACCCAAATGTCTTCTAAGGGAGCTATTTCACCACTAGTCGGTAAGGACTGTAGACTTTAATCTCTCGACAAAAACGTCCCCTTCAGTTTCTACCATGTCCCCATCTGAAAAGGCCAGCTGCGACTCTTTGCCCTAATACCGCAAATACGACCCCTTTCGCCGGAAATCCCGATGGACGATATTCAGTGAAAAAGCCAAGACTAGATGACTGCACCTTTAAGCTCGAAGAAAGCGAGAAAAAAAAACAAGTTACAATCAATATGTGCTGAAAGTGAGTACGTAGTGTTTATCACCGCTGCGTATGAGCAGAGAGGAAAAAAAATGAGAAAAAAAATCGTAACGATGACC